ATTTATGCTGAAGTGTGTATATTTATATGCGTTTCGTGTATATATTTATATGTAAAGATGTATATAAAAAACAACAATGTATATTAATCCTCAAAATATGTATTTTTTATAGCAATTAAGTGAATACATAGCATAAAAATATGTATATTGACTGATTTGTTGTATTTCATGTTAATGAACGTAAGCGACAATGTATATAGCGAAATATGCTTTTAGTATCTTGTGTTCTTGATAATATTAAAATGACACCTCAACATTTTTAAAAATATATTCTTGGTACTCTTAAGTTGATTTTTAAGATGTAAAATGACCTTAGTACTCTTTTACTTAATCAAAATCTAATAAATCTAGAAAAAAATCATGAACTTTTTATTTTATTATTTTCCTTTAAATATTTTAATGTCTTAAAATATTTTCCTTTTTTTTAAGAAACTAGTAAAAGTAGGCACGTGCAATTGCATGAATTTGACTGTTATATTTATTGTCTATTAGAAAAATAATTTTATGATGTAAACAAATAAGTTATAACTAATCGCCATACTCTATTATTTTTCTTAACATTTAGACCGCACAGCTTATTTTGATGGGGTGAATTTTGTAGATTTGGAAGCCACATTCAGAACGTAATTTAAATATTATTTAATTTGACCACTTTTTTTTAAGCTCTAAGTAAGAGAAAACAGTAGATAACAAATAAGTAAAAAGTTCAAAAAGTGAAGAACATAGAAGGAAACACAAATTAAACTGTTTTTCTTAAGACTTAAGTAAGATAAAACAATAGATAACAAGTAGATTAAAAATATAAAAATTGATAAGGGCATAAATAGAAACACAAAACTAGTACATAACACGTAAATAAAAAGTACAAAAGGTAAATAACATAAATGAAAACACAAATTAAACCGTTTTTTTTAAGCCCTAAGTAAGAGAAAATAGTAGATAACAAATAAGTAAAAAATACGAAAGGTGAAGGACATAAATGGAAACACAAATTAAACCGGGTTTTTCTTAAGCGTTAAGTACGAGAAATAGTAGATAATAAGTAAGTAAAAAGTACAAAACGTGAATGGCATAAAGAGAAACACAAATTAAACCGTTTTTTTAAGCCAGAAGTAAGAGAAAATAATAGATAACAAATAAGTAAAAAATATAAATAGTTAAGGGTACTATAAAGAGATAAAAATTAGTTGACACGTGCTTGCTTCATCACATTTATTATATATAATAGATATTGATTTTTATTTAACTAATAAGAAAAGTAATTTAGACATTATATGTCCCAAAAATTAGTTTTAAGGTATCAAAAAGATATTTTTAAAAAGATTAAAATACTGTTTTAATATTATTAAAAATACAAAATCTTAAGAGCATATTTCGATATAATATAAAATGCCAAAATTTACATTTTTATTTATGTTTTGCATTCTAAAATTAATATATGATTTTTAAAAATTAATGCAACAAGCGGCACTATTTTTTTATGAATATTATATTTTTATGATTTTCTTTATTTTTCATCTTTAAAAAATAAAATAAAATAAAAACGACGTAAAAAAATAATGAAATTTTG